GAACCAGGGAAATTATCCACAGGAGACGAGAAATAGGGAAGTTTACAGAGAAGGGAATCCAAGATATAATAGGGGCAAAATGAGGAGAGAAGACAGGTGAATGTAGTTAGAACAGAGGAGAATAGGGGGGAAGCAAGTGTTGATGCAGAAGGGAGACATTTTGTTTAGACCGCTCCTATGTGCATAATATTGTCTACTTATCAAAGTATGAACATCCAAGGGAGTTTATTAGAGATACTGGGGAATTAAATAAAAATAATAACACTAATACTTTAAAGTTTATTGAAGGGTACATACAAGATTCAGTATACAAGTTATTATTAGATACAGGTTAAGAAGTAACTCTAATCAACAAAAACATTGTAAATAATTTAAATAAGGACTGTATTATGACACGAATTTGGTATTATAAGATATAAGTTTTGTAAATGGAAGGATAATTAATAAATAAGCGTATCTTGAGATAAATTTGATAATAACATAACTTAAATAATTTATTAGGAACAAAATAATGATGAATTTATATAAACAAAAAAGGTTGATTTATTTTCGTCGATTTATAGGAGTTACAAGTATAAATAAGTGAGCAAAGTACTATGGACAAATCGATATTTTGTAGAAATTGGGAAATAGGGAATATTATAATGATAAATAGTATATGCGGAAATAAGATGAAAAATAGAATTATATGAAATATTGAAATATGAAATATAGAGAGTTATATGTAGAGATGATGAAATAAATATTATATGCGGATATGAAAAGAATAAATAATAATGAATAAAGATACTGAAATAGTATATGAAATATAGTAATAAAGAAATTGGGAAAGTACTTGGAAATTTGATTCTGAAGTTGATATAATTAGTGAAAGATTTGTAGATTTTGTTTGGAGAATTCTGTATTTGTCATAGAGTAAATTATAAAAAAAAATATTCAAGAGATATGCTTATTAATAAAAGTCAGTTTATTGTTATGTTAATATTAATAAAATATTTAAGTTTACCGGTAAGAATTTAGATTTAGTAAGTGCTGATAGTTAGCACTGAACAAAATCCAAATTGGGGGGAAGTTGAAACGATTTCAATATGTTAAAAAGGATACAACTTAAATGGATTTTTATATGAGTTTGTTGTTAATGAATTTCATGAAGCCATCACAATGTGGGTTCGACTCTGAAATAAAAGAGAGAAAAAGATTAGTAAATTGTTAAATAAATTAATTTTGACTTACCTGGTATAGTGTTAATAATTTCTGAATAGTATAGTTGCCTAGTGTATAGGTGAATCGTCTAAACTTTAAAAAGAAAAAAAAAGAAGAATTCTTAAAAAATATTTAAACATAGACATTTTAAAAACGTCAGAAATAAACTGTTAAGCAAGTCTGTGGGAGCTTAATTAATAGGGGTTTTGTTAAATAAGAAATTACAATGATGTGGAGATGAAAAGAATAAATTTATATTAATAGAATAAGTTTTATATCTAAACATTTTTTTTTATAAATTCCCAAATTAGATGTGATTAAAGTGATTATAAGAAATTAATGTGGATTGATAAATGTATCAGAGCAGGACATTTTTATGGTTTAAAATATTTAAATAGAAGACAGAAAAAAAATGAACGTTGGTTGCTGTTAGCAACGAATAATAAGGAATTGGTTTTTTTTTGGAAGAGGCCGACGAGAGGAGTTTTTCGACGAAGAGGAGCCCTGAAACTGTGGAATAGGTCGGGAGTGTTTTTTAACTCGTCTAATTAGAATTTTAGTTTTTCCACAGTTTCCACAGCAGAGATATCCAGAATTTGTTCCAGAGAGTAAGAGAAACAATTTGACTTATAAATTATATTGGAGTATAGAAATGTCATTTAAATTGAGAAAATTAAAATTCATGAATTAACATAATTGCGATAGACTTTAAAAATTGAAAATATTAATGATCATTAAATTAAAAATAGAATAGTACGTACCTTAACTTCCGAAGAGAGGATTGATATTCCAGTTTCACCGATTATTTTGCGAGTAGTTAGTTTTCTTTAAATAAATCAGTACTGTTTTAAAGTGAGGTTGGATAATAATTTGGGGATTGTTTGAAATTTTGATTATATTTGAATGCAAGTTTAAAGTCAGCGGAGTAAAGTGTTCAGTTTCTTTTTCTTTATAGTTCATTTAAACACTTTATAAAGTTGCAATATTTATTTAGTTTTTAGGTACTTGTAGAGAGTCTCCACATTTTGTAATACATTTTTATTGTCACGTCACTAAACCACGTTAAGATTTAAACGATTCCTATTTTTGTAAATTTTTAAAGGCAACCGAAGTTGCAGACGAATTTTATTGTTTATATTAAATTTGTTCAATATTAATAAATAACGTGCTTCATTTGGGTTAATTTATCAAAAGTCTAAAGTAAATTTTGGTTTAATTTCTTTTTGAACTCTACCAGGAGACTACAGAGTCGACGTCACACACTGACAGATTGCTTAGAACACATAATTGAGCTAGCTGAGGTATATATTAAATTAAACAACGAACCACATATTTTAAAAATTACATTTATTATATAAAAAAAAATAAAAATAATAAAATACTACTTTTTCAATATATAAAACATTTTTCATCTTGTGTTAGTTTTATTAAATATAATGATACTCTAATACTATAGCACCTGCATTCGACGTAAACTTTCTGAAGCTTTCCTGCTCTCTAAACTTTATGTTTCCTCTAGGTGCATTGTAGAACATTCTGTAAATGTGTTCTACATACAAAGCATGAAATCACAGAAATAAATCTCCAATTCACCTAAGTGCTATTCGAGCGAAAGATAAGGACCGATTTGCGGAATAGTTTTATATATATACTGATGTGTTTGTAACTTAGCGTAAATCAATGGCACCTTGTATATATACAGAGAGATGGGGTTGTGGTGATAAATGCTGATTTATTCTAACAAGTTTATTTTATTTTATTACTCCCTGTGGTTATTTCTTTGTTTATCTGAAAATCGAACTGCTCGCTTTAAAAGTTTAGAGTTTCTTATCACGACTGGGAAGTTTTATACAAGATTTAAGCACTACTATCGCTAATAGCATGAAGACATAATATGGCTTTTGTAATCTCATGTAAAACTTTTAAATAAGTATACACCAAACTAATTCTTTTTAATAAATAATGATTTCAGTTAATCATCCACAAAATAAATATGATATCAATCCATATTTTATATTATATAGTCTTACAGCATAACTAATAAACCAAGTATAAAACTTATACTCAGAATAAATCAGGTATAGGCAAAATCACTACCAATAAATATGGAATAACTTAGATATAAGTTATACTTGGTATAAGAATTTATTCCAGGATTATACCGACCCGCGCCCTTGTTTAAGTCTGGTATAACCTATTTTATGAATGTCAAAGTCATAAGTGACAAGAATATATTTTATTTTTTGTATTGTTTTGTGACTAGCTACAATTTATATATAATAAAAAAATGTGTTTAAGAGGTGTTGCGGCTGTCGAGGAAGTTGATAATTTAATTAACATGATGGAAAATACACGAAAAAGAAAAACTTTTAAAGAATGAATAAATCCCTTTTCAAAATACACCGATAGAGAAATTAGAATAAAATATCGGTTTTCTAAAGATGGTGTAAGGTTTTTAGAAAACTTAATTGGTGATTCACTTATTGTGGACACGCGAGGAGGCGGTTTATCCTCTACTCTACAGCTACTCACCGCTTTACGATATTGGGGTCGCAATGAAGTGAGTATATTTATATGAATATATAATATAATATATATATCTAGATTATGTATATACAACTGCTATACTAAATAATTGTTAACACAAAAGTTTTTATTGATTTTTTGTTTGTAGATTCAAGATGATGCAGCAGATATTCATGGCTTAACCCAGCAGTCTATCACTAATGTATGTCGTCGTGTTGCAAGAGCGATATTGGAGAAAAGATTTGATTATATCAAAATGCCTTCTCTTCATGAAGAATTAATTTTAATGCGGCAGTTTGAACAGATAGCTGGTTTTAAAAAAGTAATTGGTACTATAGACTGTACGCATATCAGAATACCTAAAATACAAGGACCGAGTGGACAATATTATATAAATAGGAAAGGATATAGTTCCTTAAATGTTCAGGTGAGCTGTTATACATATTTTTGTAATATAGGTATGTGTTTTAATAAGTTTTGTTTTAGGTGGTTAGTGACAATCATTTAAAAATAAGAAATATTGTTGCTCATTGGAGAGGAAGTACACATGACTCCCGCATTTTTAATGAAAGTACCTTAAAACAACGGTTTGAGGGAGGAGAATTTCATGGTTTGTTATTGGGAGACTCGGGTTATGCTTGTTCCCCATATTTATTTACACCAGTTTTAAATCCTTCCAACCGTCAGGAGGAACGATACAATTATGCACATATCAGAACACGTAATACTGTTGAAAGATGTTTTGGTGTTTGTAAAAACAGATTTAGGTGTTTACTGACTGGATTCCGAACATCCTTAGATAATACAAAAATGTATATTGTAGCTTTGGCAGTATTACATAATATTGCAATTTATTTAAACGAGGAACCTTTCCCTGAAGATGGTGATGTGCAATATCCACCTCAACCACTAATAGCACCAGTAATGCATAATAATGTACAACGGGGTGCTGCATCAAGATCTGTATTTATAGAAGAAAATTTTTGAGGAAAATAAAACTATATGTCATATGCAATCATTTTTATTTATTAATTTTCTTCCTTTTTCTTTTTTAGAATATCCTCCTGAAGCTTTAAATTTTTCATAGTCTGAGCATGTTGCTCAGACATCTGCTTTATTCTTAGCTCATGTTCATACATCAAGCGTTTGTCCTCCCGGACCCTAAAATGGTGCATATCATCATATGAAGCCTTAGCAAAATTAAAAGTATTGGATGTCTGAAATGAAATTAAAAAAAAATGTTATATATTATAATTATTCTTTTTATATAATCATACCAATGTTTTATTTGTAGCTCGCTTAGGTGTTGGTATTGATTTAGCCATTCTAGCTTCTTCAATGTCATGATGTTTTATCTGTAACAAAATGTTAGAATTAGTTTTTTGTACACTTATATTTATATGTTCATTCTGATTGAAAGAAAATATACTAATGAAAAAATGTTTTTTTTATTTTTTATTACACTCTATTTAATATCTTACCCCAAATGAAGTACTAGGGTAATTGAAATCTTCTACTTCAACATTCTGGGCCACTACAGATTCCTAAAAAGATAAATTAAGAAAAGGAGTACGACAGTCAATCCAATATACAATAATAACCACTCAAAGAGTGATGGGGTTTTCCGTTAAAAGGTGGAGAAAAAAGACAAAGAAGGTGGCTACTTTATCTATTTATTGAAGATGATTCGCTTTCTAATCAGAAAGCATCATCAGTTCATCTAAAAAGAACAGTATGAAAAACCAAACATCCATAGAAAAGTTATTACAAGTGTGTTACCTCAAACAGACACATGCTACATGTCTTTTTGAGGTAAAACACTTGTAATAACTTTTCTATGGATGTTTAGTTTTTCATACGGTTCTTTTTAGATGAACTGATGATGCTTTCTAATTAGAATGCGAACAGAAATGAATCACCTTTTGACAGAAAAACCCACCACTCTTTGAGTGATCCTTATATTATATATATATATATATATATATATATATATTATATATATATATATATATATATATATATATAATATATATATATATATATATAATATATATATATATATATATATGTATATAGCAAAAGATATGACCGTTGATTAAATTTAAAATATATTCAATAGTTGAATAGCAGAGGTTGTATCAGTCGATAATTGGCAAATGAAAGTCGTCAACTACTTCATTAATTTATTTGAATAAGTTTCACTTTTATTTTCAAAAGCATCATCAGTTCGAAAAACAATTTGTAGGTTTTTTTAAAGATGTTATAAACACCCTACGATAACTTAACATTAAAACTTAACAACTAAATGATAGAAACGAAACAAAAAACACACAAGAAAAAACTGAAAGAGCCTATTGTTTATTTAATTTTTACCGAGGGCTTCATCTCAATATGGGTGTGAACCTACAAATTGTTTTTTGAACTGATGATGCTTTTGAAAATAAAAGCGAAACGTATTCAAATAAATCAATGAAGTAGTTGACGACTTTCATTTGCCAATTATTGACCGATACAACCTCTGCATATATATATATATATAGTATATATATATATATATATATATATATATATATATATATATATATAATATATATATATATATATATTATATATATATATATATATATATATATATATATATATATATATATATAGTTCATTCTGATTATAAGAAAACATACTAATGAAAAAATGTAATTTTTATTTTTTTTATTACATTCTATAAAATATCTTACCACAAATGAAGTACAAGGATAATTTAAATCTTCTACTTCAATGTTCTGGGCCACTGCAGATTCCTAAAAATATAAAAATATGTTATATGTATGCATATATATATATATATATATATATATATATATATATATATATAATATATATATTATATATATATATATATATATATTATATATATATATATATATATATATATATAATATATATATAGTTCATTCTGATTGTAAGAAAATATACTAATGAAAATAATTTAATTTTTATTTTTTTTATTACATTCTGTAAAATATCTTACCACAGATGAAGTAGTAGGGTAATTTAATTCTTCTACTTCAACATTCTGGGCCACTACAGATTCCTAAAAAGATAGAATTATGTTTTATGTATGAATATATATATATATATATATATATATATATATATATATATATATATATATATGCATGTGTTCAGACAGATTTCCGCGGTCAGATAAATGAAAATCACTACGTTCTCGGAAAGAACTAATATTTCAATTTACACATTTAACAAATTCTAAACGAGATTCTTCCCGAGAACCTAGTGTTTTTGATATATGTATGTTTATATATATATATATATATATATATATATATATATATTATATATATATATATCGGAAAAAGGAGTACGACCGTCAAATTCCAATATATAAAAGGATCACTCAACAGAGTGGTGGGCTCTTATATCGGTCAATTTGTAGGTGGAGAAATGAAAGACAAAGTTGATGTGCCACTCTATCTATTTTGAAAACGTTTCGCTTTCGTATTCTGAAAGCATCATCAGTTCATTCTAAAAAGTATAATATAAGAACCACACAATCATGGAAAAGATGTTACAGGTGTTACCTTAAAAAGACATGTAGCAGTCAAAGATGTTAACAAGCTTATGAATTAAACTTGAATAAATGGACAATATAAAGTAGAAATGTATAAACATTTAATTTACTAACAACATTTAGTGACTTATTAAAAAATTAGCACAATGAGTGACCATGTGGTCAAAAGTATAAAAAATATATGTTAAATTATAACGTAGTTGATGCAAAGAACTAAGAAAATCAACGATTAACTTCCAACAATAGATAATTATTAAATTTTAATTTTAACTTTTGGTAGCATTATTAAAAGATGTTAATATAATTTAAAAATAAAATAAGTGTAAAAGAATGAAGTTACCGGTCTAAGCCTTACACCTGCTACCAGGAAAATGGCGTTAGATTGAACAGACTGACACAGATCTACGAAAAGACAGCCAACCTTGAGGTTGAAATTATTTCAACAGAACAGCAAGGTCAGAGGTACCACCTCAAATAATTGAGCGGTTTATTTAAAAGTTAATGAGCTTTGGATGACAGCCCGCTTGTAAGAGACAATCCAATGAAAGAGACTGATATAGTAATAACAATCACTCGCATTAGCCCGTCTAAAAACAAACAAACAGGAGAATTTCATCCAAACTCTTATATTTAAATTTATGTTAAACATTGTGGCTGAAGAAATTTTTGCCAACAGGTGAATAACAATTAGATAATTTCCAACAGTCTAAGCTTCATACACTTAGATCTGTAATTTGTAAAGGATTCTATGAATCAATTACAATGTTAATATTATTACTATACTATTAAATAGTGACTGGTTCACACTCATATGGACAAATTATAATGTAGAGGTAACCTTGTAATGAAAGTTGCCTATATTTAAGTAATTGCTATAAAGAATTGAGTGTTATAGTTTATTTTATATTAGTTATTTATTTATTATGTTATATTATTCAATGAAAAATTTTGTGTTCAAATATGTATATTACATGATAATTATATTGAAAAAGAAAGTAAAGCCTAGTTCTGCAATATTAGAGCATGATAAATTTGGCTCAAGTTACTTATGTCAGTTCTCTTATTTAGAGAATTAGGATGTTTAAGAATTGAACACATTTCTAAAAACTGTCTTTTAAATAGATTACGTTCAGTGCCAAGAATCTTAACTTCATTAAAATCCACTTTATGTTTGGTGCTAATAGCATGATGTGCGAGAGCACACGTATTTTTTGATAAATTAATATCACTACGATGTGAAGTAAGACGACCTTTTAAAGATCTACCGGTCTGGCCAATGTAGCACATTTCACAGTCAGAACATGGAAGGTGGTAAATTGTATTGACTTGTTCTAAAGTAGACAATGGTGTTTTAGTTTTTGAAAAAAGATTTCTAACAGTTTTTGCGTTCTTGACAGCAATTTTAACAGGAATGTTATTTTGTTTATACAGTTTAATAAGTTTCTCAGTAACTTGAGGAAAATAAGGTAGAGAAGAGTAATGGATAATAGGATTCTCAGAATCAGTATCAGGCAGAACAATGCTATTAATTGAGTTATTTGAAATAGTTCTGAGTTGGTCACCATTGGGTATGTCATCAAACGAGGAACCATAGCTTTGTGTGTAAAGGTATTTGTTTATGATTGATGATGGATATGAGTTCTGTATTAGAATATTTCTTAATAACTTAAGGGATTCCCTTCGATTAATTGGATGTGTCAATTTATGTAATCTGCAGCTTAAAGCTTGTATAAGGTTTAGTTTATACTTCATAGGGTGACAGGAGTGGTAATTAAGGAACCTATTTGAGGCCATGGGTTTTCTATACCAACTTGTGGTTAGGGTGTTATCTCCCATTCTAATGACACGCATGTCTAAGAAGGGAATGCTATTGGTGATGCTTAAATTCACAAATAAAATAAATAAATTTATAACACATTTGAAAAATATTAAGATCATAGATCAACCTTTAGCTAAAACTTTACATAATTATGATGGATATGCTCCTAGATTTTATTGTCTGCCAAAGATACATAAACCCACACTGAGCATGAGACCTATTGTGTCCTCAATTAATTCACCTAATATCAATATTGCTAAATTTCTAACTGACATCCTTTCAAAGTCATATAATTACAATAATGACTTTAATATTGTTGATTCGTTTAACTTTAGTGAATTTATTAACAATTTCAAATTACCACCAGGTTACATTTTAGTAAGTTTTGATGTGGTTTCTCTCTTCACTAACTTACCTTTGTCCAGTGTTATCACTTCCTTGAAAAACCACTGGAATTCAATTAAACCTAACTGTCCTGTTTCCTGGGATGTATTTGCAGAACTCTTGCAACTAGTATTTGATACTAATTTCTTGGTCTTTGATGACAAATATTACCTTCAAATTTTTGGCACACCTATGGGTTCCTCAATCTCTCCTATCCTAGTCAACTATGTATTGGATGATTTAGTTTCTGACCGATTGGGTCGTTTGGATGTTCAAATCCCTTTTATTAAGAGGTATGTGGATGATTTATTATTAGCCCTACCACCTGACAAGGTTCAGGGTACCTTATCCTTCTTTAATGAGTTTGATCCTCATTTACAGTTCACTGTTGAACTTGAGGACAGCATCACCAATAGCATTCCCTTCTTAGACATGCGTGTCATTAGAATGGGAGATAACACCCTAACCACAAGTTGGTATAGAAAACCCATGGCCTCAAATAGGTTCCTTAATTACCACTCCTGTCACCCTATGAAGTATAAACTAAACCTTATACAAGCTTTAAGCTGCAGATTACATAAATTGACACATCCAATTAATCGAAGGGAATCCCTTAAGTTATTAAGAAATATTCTAATACAGAACTCATATCCATCATCAATCATAAACAAATACCTTTACACACAAAGCTATGGTTCCTCGTTTGATGACATACCCAATGGTGACCAACTCAGAACTATTTCAAATAACTCAATTAATAGCATTGTTCTGCCTGATACTGATTCTGAGAATCCTATTATCCATTACTCTTCTCTACCTTATTTTCCTCAAGTTACTGAGAAACTTATTAAACTGTATAAACAAAATAACATTCCTGTTAAAATTGCTGTCAAGAACGCAAAAACTGTTAGAAATCTTTTTTCAAAAACTAAAACACCATTGTCTACTTTAGAACAAGTCAATACAATTTACCACCTTCCATGTTCTGACTGTGAAATGTGCTACATTGGCCAGACCGGTAGATCTTTAAAAGGTCGTCTTACTTCACATCGTAGTGATATTAATTTATCAAAAAATACGTGTGCTCTCGCACATCATGCTATTAGCACCAAACATAAAGTGGATTTTAATGAAGTTAAGATTCTTGGCACTGAACGTAATCTATTTAAAAGACAGTTTTTAGAAATGTGTTCAATTCTTAAACATCCTAATTCTCTAAATAAGAGAACTGACATAAGTAACTTGAGCCAAATTTATCATGCTCTAATATTGCAGAACTAGGCTTTACTTTCTTTTTCAATATAATTATCATGTAATATACATATTTGAACACAAAATTTTTCATTGAATAATATAACATAGTAAATAAATAACTAATATAAAATAAACTATAACACTCAATTCTTTATAGCAATTACTTAAATATAGGCAACTTTCATTACAAGGTTACCTCTACATTATAATTTGTCCATATGAGTGTGAACCAGTCACTATTTAATAGTATAGTAATAATATTAACATTGTAATTGATTCATAGAATCCTTTACAAATTACAGATCTAAGTGTATGAAGCTTAGACTGTTGGAAATTATCTAATTGTTATTCACCTGTTGGCAAAAATTTCTTCAGCCACAATGTTTAACATAAATTTAAATATAAGAGTTTGGATGAAATTCTCCTGTTTGTTTGTTTTTAGACGGGCTAATGCGAGTGATTGTTATTACTATATCAGTCTCTTTCATTGGATTGTCTCTTACAAGCGGGCTGTCATCCAAAGCTCATTAACTTTTAAATAAACCGCTCAATTATTTGAGGTGGTACCTCTGACCTTGCTGTTCTGTTGAAATAATTTCAACCTCAAGGTTGGCTGTCTTTTCGTAGATCTGTGTCAGTCTGTTCAATCTAACGCCATTTTCCTGGTAGCAGGTGTAAGGCTTAGACCGGTAACTTCATTCTTTTACACTTATTTTATTTTTAAATTATATTAACATCTTTTAATAATGCTACCAAAAGTTAAAATTAAAATTTAATAATTATCTATTGTTGGAAGTTAATCGTTGATTTTCTTAGTTCTTTGCATCAACTACGTTATAATTTAACATATATTTTTTATACTTTTGACCACATGGTCACTCATTGTGCTAATTTTTTAATAAGTCACTAAATGTTGTTAGTAAATTAAATGTTTATACATTTCTACTTTATATTGTCCATTTATTCAAGTTTAATTCATAAGCTTGTTAACATCTTTGACTGCTACATGTCTTTTTAAGGTAACACCTGTAACATCTTTTCCATGATTGTGTGGTTCTTATATTATACTTTTTAGAATGAACTGATGATGCTTTCAGAATACGAAAGCGAAACGTTTTCAAAATAGATAGAGTGGCACATCAACTTTGTCTTTCATTTCTCCACCTACAAATTGACCGATATAAGAGCCCACCACTCTGTTGAGTGATCCTTTTATATATATATATATATATATATATATATATATATATATATAATATATATATATATATATATATATATATATATATATATATATATAAAATAAGAAAATACTAGATTCAATATTGTACCTTTACACCATCACTGTCAAATTCATTGTAATCCACTTCCAACTCAAGGGGAATCATTTCTGCTATCTCCAATACCTCAGGAGAAGGAGATGGTGGTTTAGGACCACCTCCAGTTTTATTTAATTCTCTTCTCAACTGGGACATTTGCTTCTTACAATTTATTTTGGCCAACTTCCACTGGTTCATCAATTGTTTTTTGTCCCTTCTTCTAACATTGGCAGCATTGAACCTTAAAATAAGTTGAATATTCAGTATCAAATTGTTTAAATAGATAAAAACATTTTTTTATTCAACCAACCAACCAACCTAAATTTGTTAAATAAATGGTTTGAAATAAAAAAAAAGGTTTTGATGAAGTATATAATTTTAAGTAAACACTTACCTCTCCGTTATTTGCAGCCATGCATTTAACTTTGATTTGTTAGTGTTTGTACTAAGGTCTTTATTTTCTATAATGTGTAAATAATCTTGGACAATATTCTTTAAAAGATGCTGAAATTAACATATTTAAATTTACACATTTATAAGTAAAATAAATCAGTCAAAGCTTACTTTTTCTTCACTTTTCCAGTTAACGCAACGTTCTCTTTTAATTGATGCCATTTTACAACTCTTGTTCCAATTTTAAAATGCTCAAACTAAACCAAACTAAACGTACAAGCACAAGAAACATAGTACATACCCCCCTAGTAAGGTAACTCCCATATAAAGTTTTGGAAGAGAGTTTCTAGCGCCAAATACGGACGGTCCGAAACTAATTTCATTTGGCGGCAAATTCAAAATGTAAATTCAGAATTTTAGGCGGCAAATTCAAAAAATATGCTCTGAATTTTAGGCGCCAAAATGGAAAGTAAATATAGTCATAAAATAAGAAATAAAAACTTATTCTATACCAGAAAATATATCCTCTCTGTCCAAAAATATAGTATACACCTACACATTTTATATATATATATATATATATATATATATATATATATATATATATATATATATATATATATAAATGTATAACATAATATCTGATACAGAGAGAGTATATATATTATGGTACAGGAAAGTTTTTATTTAATATTTTATGATTATATCTGTTTTCCATTACATTAACAAACCAAAGTCCCAAAAATAACAAAATAAAACACAAACATCCTGACACTTGTTTATTTGTATAATTTTCTTTGGTAAAGTATTGGCAACAAATATCCTCCTCCTCCTCCTTACTTAAGCCCTTGTTAAGGTGTGGGTGGAGACACTCTAAATATTGTTAACTTGCTGTCTCCATTGGCTGCAATTCTGTACCAGATGAACAACTTCGTGAAGTGATTTTTCTACCAATCTTCATTTAATCTTCCCATCATGTTGTAAGATCGTCATTTTGATATACAGATATATATACCTCTATATTTATTAGCCCTGGTTTGTAGTACGTTCCATACCTTCTAAAATACTTTTCCTTGAAGTACCATATGTACATAATAAAGTGTAAACCCTAGCATGTCTGCGATCTTGCTCTTCAGAATGATCACAAATTGGCATGCGACTCAATGTAACTCTTACTCAGAAGTAGAAGATCCATGAAAATCTAAAATAATAAAAAATTATTATAATTAAGAATTTATTGACTTTTTTTATAAAATAAGGCCAATTTTAGGAATGCAATTAAAAGAGTCATAAGAGTTTTTTTTATAAAATAAGGCAATGTTTAGGAATGCAGTGATAAGAGTTAAGAGTTTTAGTGAGTTTAAAATCTATACAGTATATAAATATAAGATTAATGTTAGTTAAGATTGAAAGGTAAATTAACTAGAAAAACAAAATAGTATCAAGTTTATATTTACTAAAAGTTTGATATTGTTAGGTGCTGTTCTTACCTGGTGCTTGTAAAAATAAACTTCTAATCCTCAGAATGTTTATTAGTCATTTCTCCAACTTTAACTTTCACCCATCAACAAAAAATATTCTTTGGAAATACTATACCATTTTGGTAATGTACCTTCTTCTTTAGCAGGTCTATTAGATATATAAAATTTGATAATATACTGTTTTTATCGTCTATTTCTAAAATTTGGGATACGATTATTGTAAACAGTGTGGTGTAGAATTGTTTAATCTTTTCCTCATACTGCTCATAATAAATGTCAACCATTATGAAAACAAGTCCATTTCATTTTTTGGGTTTGGAAAACGAAATCGACAGTTTGTGTAGTCGGTGCAACCATGAACATAACATTTTTTTACCTTTTTTTCTATTTTGTTCCATTTCAACGATGGTAAAACACAATTTTTAAAATTAAGATGATAATAACCAAAACCAAACACAAATCTGAATCATAGGTAAGAAGGTTATCTGAATTTGCAATATGGCGTCCCAATCTAAATTAAATTTCGCCACCGCACATGCGTCTCCCGCTATACCTCCCACCTAACGTGACTAGTAGCGCCGCCGCCATTAAGAACGGATGGGCCCATGCAAAACACTATCCCCTCCCGTCCTATTCTACTTACACTACTATTGGGTATGTATTGTGCACAAGAAAGTGATAACAAATTAACAAATAAACATATATTTGGTGTCAATTGTCGGTTTCAAAGAACAATCAGAATTGACATATTTCACTCAATATTTTGTTGTTCTATGTATTTGTGCCAAAGATTGCGACATTGCCAAACGATTATTTCGGAATAAAGTAGGAATACTTATAACGAGTTTATACCGAGTTTATTTGTAACAAATTTATTTAGTATTATATCTACCTTATACTTAGGATAACTATTCTAGGTATAAATACGGAATAACCTTAGAATACGAGTGTTTTATTAGTAACAGTGTTAGTTTCCAAAATCTATCATTTTCTTTAGTCTCCATGATCCTTACAGAATCATGTCGACAATTTTGAGTCATGTTCGAATGGCAAAAAAACGATTTCTTGTTGTCTAAAACTATTGGTACCCTGGTATCTATCTGCCAAAACATACGGATTCGTGGTAAATTAAACACCAATATGCAAGCAGCATGCAATAAACGTTTTTAATTCTTCTGAAGAAATCTCAAAAGATTTTAGTTTTTTTTTACTTCCTACATATTTGTGTACAACGCAACGTTAAGTTAGGCAAATTATGGTGTAAAAACAGAGAAAAACAAGGAAAACAGAGCCCTGCAGTGGTACGGGTATGTACAAAGATTGCCAGAGCATAGGTAGCCGAAAAGAATATTAAACTGGGACCCGCCGGGAAGAAGAAGGACAGGAAGAACTGCTACAAGATGGAAAACATACGTCGGAAATACTATGATAGATAGAGATCTCAGAGAAGGGGACTGGGAGAATGGAGTGCTGTGGAAGACGAAAACGGCGAACTCATAATGGGAAATGCGAAGAAGAAGAAAAAGAAAAAATACATTTTTAAAGCACAAACCAAACACTTTATAATAATATGTCAATTTTCACTCAATTTAGTGAATATCAAACCTTCACAAATAACACTTTAGCCATATTAATCAAAAAAATATTACACAGAAATATAGGAAATAATTGTAAGAAAAGATTAGTGGATATAGCTAAATTAGTGTTATTTTATATTGTACCATGGAGTTTTAGAGCAAATTATCTAAAAGGACTGATAATAGCCAAAGTCGAGAAATCATTTATTATGTGTTAGCTTTAGATTGTATTGCCATCAAATTCATACCTGTCATCATATTACATTTTTGTTGATAATTAAAAATTAAGTGATCTACTATTATTTACAACATGCGAACAGTTTTTGAAATCTCAGTGCCTAACGTATTGTTGTTATCCAATACATTTAGTATCGGCTGTGTGTGTGTGTGTGTGAAACTGCTTTGTCTGTTTGTGGCTGTTTAATTTAAATGAGTTTAAAATGTTAACCCTCTGTTAGTCCCTATTGGTCTCACACACCGACGACAGAACTATTCATTCGGGATTAACAAATAACTGTTATTTTTCTATAGACACTTTCTGTACCTCTCCCTATCAACCAAACTCGTGTTAGTGTACATTCTTACATTCCTAAATACAGTTGTGTGAGTTTTATAGTTATTTTCGGTGCCAGACTCCGTAGCGACTAACAGTGTAGCTATTATTTGTTGCAGAACTTGCAGAACAGGTCAATATTTATCATCTTATTATTGCATTTTATCGGTAAGTTTTTGTCAATTCTTATTAATAGATGTCCTTTGAAACCGAACAACTTTGATTGCAACGCTTGTTGGAATTATCGACCATGGTTCCTACCACGATGAAAATTATTTTGACGATGAGAGAAGTGAAAGCGAAGTCGATCAAATTGAGGAACCTGATGGTGAAAATGAATTGACACAAGATAATACAGATGAAAAAAAAAAAAAGTGGAAGTAATACTTTAGCGTTTATTGGAAAATATAGAGTTACTAGATGAAAAAAGGCTATTCCACCGTGAAATGATAGAACAACACAAGTAAATTACATAGTACGTAATACAAACATTTGTATTTTGAGAACGTTATCCGAAGTGAAAATTAAAACATCAATAAACTTACTTAAACCTTTAATTGTGGCTTATTCCTATTTAAACAGTAAGTACTTTAAAATCCCACAAGAAGATAGCTTCAGAAGAATATTCACAATATATTGGTATACTAGTGTTTTTCATTTTGTATCTGTTGTTTTTTTCAATAAAATATTTTCAAAAATATTTTTTAGTTATTCATATACACAATATAAAATATTTGTATGAATTTTATATTAAAAACTATTTTTTTTAATTGTCGGTCTTAGACACCGTAGCGACTTTTAATGCTCAGTTTTTCCTAGCGACTAACGGAGGGTTAAAATGATCGTAAGATAAAAGAATGATATAATGATTGCCTTATTTAAATATTTATTTTAAAACTTTAAACACTTACCAGTGAAACAATGAAGCTAGTTTTTTAAGTGGGATCGTTAAAAATGAAAGTCTCTTAATCGTATTGCAATGTCATCATAATTAAATATTTTTTAATAAATATTATATTATATTCAATTCAACATTTTTATTTTCCTACTTCTGCTGACTTTTTTTATCAAGAATAGTTTTTTTTGTATTTTGTTCTTCATTTGTATAGCATTTTTTTGGACACACTTTATATTATACCTTGCCAAAAATCATTCCCATATCCTGTTATTCAATAAATTGTTGTGTAAATAATTAGAAACTTATTTTTTTAGATATCATCCTAATAATACCCAATATGATAATTATTGACATATTGGCAATTATTTAATTTTAAATATCCAACGAGTATCTATTAAGCGGTACAATAATTGTAATGTTCGGGTAATTTCCATCTTTTTTTGGCCTAATACTTTGTCTCTCTGTGCACTGGAAGCTCCGCCTTGCAACGCTTGCATCACTGGATCTGTTCTGTTGCATGTTTTGACGGTAAAAAGAAAAGACCTCTATAAGAGAAGAGGCCCAAACCTTACTGTGGCCGAGAGAAGACAGGAAAGGTAAAGGCCAATTGAAAGATGGCAAGAAGAATGAAACTACACGGAGGATGTGGCACAGTGGACAAAAATGCTGATCCCGAACATAAGAGATAGAATGGACTGTAGCCACAGGCGACT